AACAACGAGTGTTACGCCAATTCTGCTCTCCATCGCAGTTGGCTTGGGCCCTTTGTGTTTTGCGCTTTATTTCTTTTTGTAATCGATTATATTTCTCTGTTTAATCGATTAACCTTCGTTCGCATTCCATTAATCGATTATTCCTCTTGTTTTAATCGATTAGTCCTCTTAGAGCCTTCTAATCGATTAATCCCTTTGCATTAATCGATTATTTCCGCGTTGAAGGAACTCTGCGCAGACTGCATTAATCGATTGTTATGCTGCATTTTTCATCACAGCTTCTTTTCTTGGACCAACGGATATATTCCTTCAACTCCTTTATAAACCTCACTCCTTGGTCATTTTTACTATGAACAAGCACTCCTAAAACCCCCAATCTTGAAGTTATAATCCTCCATTCATTTTTTCCTCAAATTGATATATTTTGAGAGAAAACTAAGTGTTTTCAAAAGAGTGTTCTTGTCATCCATAGAGCTTAATCGTTTCTCATTTCTACTCTTGTGAGAGTTATTGCTGAGAGGTTGAAGAAGATTGTTCTTCTTGTTGTTCAAGACTTATGTGACTTGAGTCTTGGTTGTGAAGTCTTGTAGAGGGTACATCTACGAGCGGTTGTGTTGAGGCTTGTGAGATTCAAGTTCTCGGTTTGTAAACGGTTTGTCAAGCACCCGTTGAAGCTTGATAAGTAGTGGTAGCTTCGAGAGAGTCTCTCGGGGAACTGGACTAGCCACGAGGTGGTGAACCAGTATACATCGGTGTGTTCTTTGCCTTCTCTCTTTTATTTCCGCTGCACTTACGNGAGGGTACATCTACGAGCGGTTGTGTTGAGGCTTGTGAGATTCAAGTTCTCGGTTTGTAAACGGTTTGTCAAGCACCCGTTGAAGCTTGATAAGTAGTGGTAGCTTCGAGAGAGTCTCTCGGGGAACTGGACTAGCCACGAGGTGGTGAACCAGTATACATCGGTGTGTTCTTTGCCTTCTCTCTTTTATTTCCGCTGCACTTACGTTTATTTTATTTATCCTGCGAAAATTGGTAATCATTCTCAACAACTCTATTCACCCCCCCTCTAGAATTGCACGCCTTATCTAACAATTGGTATCGGAGCGGGTATCTCTAACGCTCCTTGTGACGTTTGAGAAAACGATCAATTTTTTTGAGAATGTTGAACGCAGGGATAGGAGAAGGGCAATCCACCGTAAGGCCACCATTTTTTGATGGAACGAATTACTCCTATTGGAAGGAGCGTATGAGAATTTTTGTTCAATCTAATAACTTCAAAATTTGGCTTGCTATCAAGAATGGAGATAGCTTGCCAATGAAGAAGATAGGCGATACACTCATCCCGAAGGACGAGGATGAATATGATGAAGCCGATCTTAAGAAGGCTCAATTGAATTCCACCGCCATCAACTTCTTGTATTGTGCTGTCAACGCCAATGATTATCAAAAGATATCTCGTTGCCAAACCGCCAATCAAATGTGGAACAAGCTCATGATCACGTACGAAGGTACGCCTCAAGTTCGTGAATCAAAAATTGATTTACTAACCCATGAATATGAGTTATTTGCTATGAAAGAGCACGAACTTGTGGAGGACATGTTTGGAAGATTTTCAAACATCGTCAACGACCTTGATATGCTTGGAAAGACACTCACCGAGAAAGAGTTAGTGAGAAAAATTCTGCGAAGTCTTACCAAGGAATGGGAGTCGAAGGTTAACTCCATTTACGAAGGCCGAGATTACAACGTCATCACATACGACGGTCTTCGAGGTAACCTTATCACTTACGAAACAAATCATCTTTCTCATACTCTTGACGTTAAGAAGAGAACGGGAATTTCTTTTAAAGCATCTTCTTCTCAAAAAGTAGAGATTGGTGATTCGGATTCGGATAGTGATAGTGATAGTGATTCTAGCACTTCCTGTGATATTTTGGTTGAATGTTTTAACGAGTTTTTGAAACATGAGCTAAACAAGAGCAAGAAGAAAAGCACCCCAAAATGTCACAAGTGCGGAAAGCTTGGCCACCGAAAATTTGAGTTCCCGAAGCTCAAGAAGATGAGCAAACAAGATGAATTCGCGTATTTTTCGTGGAAGTATGATGAACCTTCCAAAGACGATTGCCTCATCGCTCTTGAAGACCAAGATGGGTGGTCGGGTACGTGACGCACATGGAAGGCGTTCTTGAAGACTACAAATTTGTAGTGGATGCTCCAAGCACTTAGCCAAAGAGATTACATCAAAGGGGAGTCATTATATATTTTTTAATGAATTTATATGAATTTATTTGGGGAATTTACATAGGATGTTTTGCATATAGTAAGGGGGAATTTATTGCTATATGTGTTAATCTGTTCGTATGTTTTTTTTGGGGAGATAGCATACTTTAAGGGGGAAGTATTTTTATTTCCTAGAAATGCATGATTTTAGGGGGAATGTGATTTTTCTTCATTGTTTAAAAATTTTTTTCTCTCCGAAATGCATGAGTTCTTTTGTTGCATTATTTTTTGATAATGCCAAAAGGGGGAAGAGTATAAGAGTATATGCTTTAATTTGTTATTTATTGGTAGCATATCCTCCATGTGTTTGTCATTATCAAAAAGGGGGAAATTGTTGGAATGAATGAGTTCAACCCTTTCCGTGTTGTTTAGTGTTGACTCACAGGTTTTGATAATTGAGAAACACAATTTATTCAAGTCAAGATTAAAGTGCTACAACGACAATCACGAAGACTTGAAGTGCCATTCCTTGAATTATTCAAGAAGGTGCATAGGATTTTGTTGAAGTCCGAGACGCGTTCGGAGCGCCTAACGGAGGACTCGGAGGAGTAGAAGATTTCCGAAGACTTTTTATTTATTTGAGTCTTAGGAATTATTGTAAGGATGACAAAAATATCTTCTCTCCAAAATTACTTTTATGAGAGTTAAAATAAAAATTATATTTATTTTTGGAGTCAGTTGAAAAATCCTTTTAACTATTCAAAATACATTTATTGAGTCAGTTACAAAAAGTGTGTCAAACATTTATCAAAATATTTATTTTGATATTAGAAAATATTTTTGGAAAGCAAAAATATTTTATTCAAATATTTTTCGTGTACATGGTTTGACACACAAAATAATTTTTGGACTCACTTTTACTCCCTTATTCAAATTCATTGAATAAGAGGAGGAGCGTTCTCTAATTCCCGTTGTCTCAAACAACGAGTGTTACGCCAATTCTGCTCTCCATCGCAGTTGGCTTGGACCCTTTGTGTTTTGTGCATTATTTCTTTTTGTAATCGATTATATTTCTCTGTTTAATCGATTAACCTTCGTTCGCATTCCATTAATCGATTATTCCTCTTGTTTTAATCGATTAGTCCTCTTAGAGCCTTCTAATCGATTAATCCCTTTGCATTAATCGATTATTTCTGCGTTGAAGGAACTCTGCGCAGACTGCATTAATCGATTATTATGCTGCATTTTTCATCACAGCTTCTTTTCTTGGACCAACGGATATATTCCTTCAACCCCTTTATAAACCTCACTCCTTGGTCATTTTTACTATGAACAAGCACTTCTAAAATCCCCCAATCTTGAAGTTATAATCCTCCATTCATTTTTTCTTCAAATTGATATATTTTGAGAGAAAACTAAGTGTTTTCAAGACAGTGTTCTTGTCATCCATAGAGCTTAATCTTTTCTCATTTCTACTCTTGTGAGAGTTATTGCTGAGAGGTTGAAGAAGATTGTTCTTCTTGTTGTTCAAGACTTATGTGACTTAAGTCTTGGTTGTGAAGTCTTGTAGAGGGTACATCTACGAGCGGTTGTGTTGAGGCTACACTCTAAGTTCAAGAGCCAAACATTTGGGTTTGTCAAGCACCCGTTGAAGCTTGATAAGTAGTGGTAGCTTCGAGAGAGTCTCTCGGGGAACTGGACTAGCCACGAGGTGGTGAACCAGTATACATCGGTGTGTTCTTTGCCTTCTCTCTTTTATTTCCGCTGCACTTACGTTTATTTTATTTATCCTGCGAAAATCAGTAATCATTCTCAACAACTCTATTCACCCCCCCTCTAGAGTTGCACGCCTTGTTTAACAAGTTCCCTGCCCAAGTAAGCTCCATGGTTAAGTTGGCATAATCATGTGTAACTTTACCAAGACTATGCAACCAATGAACACCCTATACAACGTCTGGGCCATGAACGGGAAGCATATACAGATCCATCTGGAAGAGTTTTCCCTGGAGTAACAGTAGTGCTTGTGGACAGTAATATGAGCAACAGAGAGAGTTGCCATTACCAACATAAACGCGGAAAGGTGTAACGGGATGCAAAACCAAGCTCAACGCCTCTGCTCGTTGGGGATGTATAAAATTGTGGGTACTCCCGCTATCAATTAGAACCTGAACCAGAGCCTCATGGATGGAACCCGAAAGTTTGAGAGAATGAGGGTTCGGTGCACCAGCCCAGGAATGATTACTCGAGACATCCCTGGTAATCAACGTCAATTTTGGATTCGGCTCTAGAGGGGGAATGTCGCCTTCATCATCATATGTATCGAGAAGAGCCAAAAAAACGATGTGCACAACGGTGACCGGGTACATATTTCTCTTCACAGTTCCAACACAACCCCTTCTTTGTCCGTTCCGCACGCTCCGCAGGAGATAGACGAACAATCAGGAGATTAGGCTTGGGACTACCACGTTCAACCACCGCCGGGGTAGAGGGGGGCTCCACGATCAAAGTTGGGGTTGTCCATGCACGTTTATAGGGTGGCGGTGCATGGCATGCATCCAATTCACGCGCCAGGGCAAAAGCATCCGCAAGTGTGGTGGGATTCCGTAGGTTCATCCCGCTCTTTAAGGGTTGTTTCAAGCCGCCTTTAAACATTGAAATCAGTGTTGCCTTGGGTACCCCCGAAACCTTATTCAAGAGCTCCTCAAAGGCCGTTTGATACGCCATAAATGTGGTTTGCTGCTGTAGTTTGGACAAACGGCCAACATAGTCGGAATAATGGTCAGGATCGAACCGTTGCTTTACTGCAATTAGGAAGTCATGCCACGTAGTACCACACTGGTTCGTGATATAATATCGATACCATTCCAATGCCGGATGATCAATGAACATACCAACGAGTAGAAATAATCAAAGTATTGTTGGATACAAAAAATCCACCCCACCGGATCGTCCCCATTAAAATGCGGTGGGTTAATGCGAAGCCGCTGTTGCCGATCAGAATTTTCACCGCATCGTAAAGTACGAGACGACAGTGGGCTCCACCGTGCCTCCTGTCACAGCGTACGACCATCGTCAGCAGCAACCTTGCCGGCTAGGGCCTCTAACTTCTTGTTGGTGACGTTCAACTCCACACCAAGGTTCTGAATAGCTTGCATAACGGTCGTCACCGACAAGGGGCTGTCGCTGGTCTTTTTGGTGTCGAAAGACATGAAGGGAGAAGAGTTGCAGCAATGAAAGCACCACTTGTTACCAAGAAGGTAACGGCGGCTGCCACTAGGGAAAAGAGAGAGAGACGAGAGAGAGAGTATGGTTAGGGTTTATGATCATTCTTCTTGTTTATTATTTTTGGGTTACACCTCTATTTATAATGGAGAGATGAAAACCTATCCTAGCGACACTACGTTTTCTATCCTGTTGGTTCAAGAAAAGCATCGAGGTAAAGAACCGAAAAGAAACCCCCGAAGGAGCTTATAATTTGCTCACCTAAAAAAACCTGTTACAATAATAATTAAGAGATAAAGATAATTAAAGTTTAAGTATTTTAAATAAATTATTATAAACTTAGAGAAAAACCCAAACATCTTAACATATTTTTCAGGCATTTTTGGGGATTATTTTCAAAAAGGCATGATTTAAAGATGAATTTTGAAAAAAATTATTTAATCATGCAAAACAAGGCTAAAACAAATAGAAGCACATATGAGATAAGGTTTTATTTTTGAAATTACTCAAAAACGAATGGAATATCTTATCCCAATAAGCAAGAAACACATTTACCTTGGCTTATGTCGCTCTTTCTTCGGCTTTGAATATACTTCTTTCCTCTTCACATACTTCTTCCATTTGAGGAAATCCGTATACTTCATTCTCATTGTCTTCTCTTCATCTTCCTCATCATTTGACTCTTCCGAGGAGCTTGAGTCACTTGAATCACTTGACTCGCTTGATTCTTCACTTGACGAGTCTTTAAAAGCTTCTAAGGCATTTGTAAGCTTGGGATTTTCACGCATTTCTTCCTCTTTGATCTTTCTCAACAAAAGTTTGTGAGAATACAAGGAAGACCAAATGTGGGCGGTTTCAGCCTTATCACATTTGGGTAATAAGTCTACGATACTAGTATGTCATTCTTTAGGTAAAGAAAATAGAATTTTCGTATTAAGCTCGGAAGTAGTATACGTCTTACCCAACTTACTCAATTTATTTACAATCTCGTTGAACCTCTTGTTCATGTCTTGGATTGTCTCATTTGACTCTTTCTTGAAGGATTCGTATTCGGAATTTCCAAGGGCAATCATTGTTTGCTTTGTTGAGACATCTCCTTCGTGAGTGGCTTCTAATAGATCCCATTTTTCCTTTCCCGTTTTACACGTACTCACTCTTGCAAATTCATCGGGGCCGAGAGAGCAATGGAGGATGTTGATTGCCTTTGCATTCAATGATAACTTTCTCTTATCTTCCGAAGATAATCCTGCAAAATCACCATTACTCGGTACAAACGGCCCGTGAAGTACATTCAACCATAAATCAAAATCAATAGATTAAATGAAGTATTCCATCCGCATTTTCCAATAAGAATAGTTTTGACCATTAAAAAATGGAGGGCGGTGAATGCTTTGGGAATCCATTTGGGCCATTTTTCAATAAATTTGAAATTTTTAAAAATAGGGAAAATAAAATTTTGAGATTTAAAAGTTCAAATTTAAAAAGGGACACAACAAGTGGATCTTTGTCGTAGATGCGGTTAAGCACTTTCAACTACGAAACTGCTCCGATACCAATTGTTAGTCGGTTTAGACTATGTTAGTAGTTGTGCCCACACCTTAGAGGGGGGTGAATAAGGCATTTAAAATCTTTTCGGAGTTTGATAAAAACGGTGTTGGCAAATGCGGAAGCAATATATAAAAACGCAGAAATAAAAGCGTAAATTAAAATGCACATCGATTTTATACTGGTTCGGGAACTCCCTACTCCAGTACCTTAAAGCTCCTCCTTAAGGATTTCCGAATCCACTAAATCTCGGTCTCTTGAACTCCGTCAAAGCACCACACTAGTTTTGGCAAACAACCCTTGCCAATAGGATTCACTCCGAAATTTCACCACGGCTATCTCGAACTGTTTACAACAAAGATTTAACGGCTATCTTCTACCGTTCCCCTAAGGATTTCAAAGGCTATCCTTGAACCTTTACCCAAGGATTTATACGGCTATCCTTAACCGTTACAACGTGAGAATTTAACGGCTATTCTCGACCGTAAGAAAGTGTGTTTGAAGAACACAAACAATGATTCTACACAACGGCTAGAATATAAAAATGAAGAACAAAACTTAGCCGGTGTAAAAGGAAATTATATACTCTCTCAAAAATACAATATAAACTTATGAATATGAGAGTATATAACTAGAAACACAAGCTCAAAGTGTGTGTATAAAAATCAGGAATTTAAGGCTCTTGAAATAGCCAAAATATTAAAAATAATGAATAAAAGAATGAACACACTTAGAATATAAAGGATGTTTGAAGCTTTTTTTCTTGAAAAAATATGAAGGATTAGGCTTGTATTTATAGTGGAAAAGGTTAATTAGCCGTTGGGAGGTGATTAGGATTGATTAAAGTCAAAATCACAAATCAGGAACAGTAACCCAATGGTCACGGTAGGCCGGTACCGTCCTCACGGTAGCATGGTACTGTGCGTACGGTAGGGGGTACCGTGGGCGGTGGTACCTCGGTACCGTGTAACACAACAACCCAATCTGGCTCTGGCGGTACCTTTCCTCTAACGGTACAGGGGTATCGTGCCGGCGGTGTGGGGTACCGTTTCGACGGTATGGGGTTGGGGTACCGTACCACTATCCTGTGCTTTCCAAAATTCCCTTAATCCTTCGTGTTTGAGTTTAAAACCTTTTAGATATTTGAAAATTTTTAAAACATATTTTGTGAGTGCTTTTGAGCTTGTGAATATAGGTATATCAAGTCATATCCTTACATTGGTTTCTACCTATATTCTACGCTAGTTTAGTTTTTCGACTTCATTCTTGAGTACCGAATCTTAATGGATTCTTGTTTTACCTGAAACACTTAAACAAACATTAAGCTCTTATATTGTTTGTTAACATCTAAATACGAGGCTTAGCAAACCAAGGCTAACATTGAGTTGGGAGTAGGGGAAGAAGCAAGGGCGATCCCAGAAGATTTGAACCATGGGGTCACATTATAGAAAGTTTATATCAAACTATCACATTTCTAACAGTTGTGCCCTGATGGCCAACTGTTCATCGTTATCCTATCATGTATAGGTAGATATAATATGTTTACACATCTCATGCTAGTAAACAAATATTATATTCCTAGATTTATATTTAAAGATGTTTATCACATAGTGTTTTTCTGCTGATGAGACATACATCTTGAAATAAATATTTATCTAAATGTCCATAGTCGAGTATTAACGAGAGTAGGATATCGTTAATGCATGTGAGACTAGTGTGTGTTGGATGTTTGACTTAGTCTCATAGTCAATGATAGTGTGTTCGCATCCGCACATGGGCAGATATTATCGGGAGATAATAGGATGCCGGACTGACCCATCCTAAAGATGTTGCTTGAACTTTTAGTTCATGCTCTAAGCATCTTTAGCGCGACCACGGGTGTAACTATCCTTCGACTTGAAGTATTATGTTTTCTGCATATGTGAACCCGCATACTTTGATGCATTGTCCTAAGCCATATGAAACAAGGATGGTATACAGGCTTTGTTTTGGGTATGCCGCAGCGCGTATTCAGAAACATAGATTACGTACATAGGATTTGTCAGAGATTAATGTCTTATGGGGCCCACTGATAAGTCATGACTGAGGTAACTGCATGGACATGCTGAGATGTTTTTTTATGACGTCTGTTCCTATTAGTCAGACTTGATAAATCAGTGAACGACTTAATGGATACAAGCTGGATTTTATTAATTCCTTGCATTAAGTCTAGACATTGAGACAAAGAGATACAGTTACACCGAGTCTGAGTCGTGGAAAGGTTTTGACGGTGCAAACGTCTTAACTTATAATCTCGGGGCAATAATGTGTTGCTAGATACCGCTTAATGCTTATAGTATTGGTGCAGAGCCAATACTCTGGCCAGCTTTATAAGTGCCTATACGGGTCACACACTTTGAACAATTTAAGGACTACGATTAAACAATGGGATAGTAAGTAATTTGTATATTTGTAAAATAGTAAAATAAAATATTTTGGAATATAATATTATATATATGCAAAACATTCGGTGATATATTTACATATATAAATACCGAAACATATATATATATATATATATATATATATAGATATACATATACATATACATATACATATACATATATATATATATATATATATATATATATATATATATATATATATATATATATATATGTTGAATATTTTATTTTGGTTTGTCATTTTAATTATGAAAATAATTATTTTGACATAAAGTATTTGAAGTATATTTTATACTTGTTTAAAAATGATATTGGTATTTTTATTTGTTTTAAAATTAATTTTATATTAATTTTTGATGTCAAATAAAATACACTTTGAACATTTTAGTGGAGAAGAATTTTGAAAATCCTTCCCACTTTCTCATATCAATCTTTCGGCCATGAGGTGATAAAAGGGAGAAGCTTGGTTTGATTTTGGATTGAAAAGATAAGGGAAATTTCTTAAATTGTCATTTAGTGAACAATTAGTCCACTTTAAAGATTGGTTTTTCAGAAACCACATAGATGATTTTTTTTTGGTGAAGAAAATTTCGGCCAACATATTTTCTAGAGAGGGAAAATAATTTTGTGATCCATTAATATCATTTTGTGTATAGAAAATATCTATAATATTTTCTAAATATTATTAGAAATATTTTTTATAGAAATATACAAGATTATTATTATCCCAATTTTAATCTTTATATTTTATACTACTATAATCTTTACTAGCATAAAGATTGTGGTAGACTCCGGCGTTGTTCGTGTGTCAAAGTTGGAGACTGGACGCTTGAACGGTTACGTTTGCACTTTCAACGCTCTTCCTACGACTTCTTCATTTTTACCGCTTACGAAAAAAGGTATAAATTTCTTACTACTATATGTTCTAGTACGTGATTCTGGGCAAGATAATCATGTTAGGATATTAAAAATTTTTATATTTCGCTGCCTATCCTTGCATGGTTACCTTTCAAGTCTTTCATTACAAATATAAAAACGCTTCTTACAAATAATAAAGTCTATTTTTCAAATTTCAAAAGGGATTTATTATAATACCTTTGCCTCCTATATTGAAATTCAAATAATTAAAAACATTATAAATTTATAACAAAACCCAAACATCTTAACATATTCCCAATCTTACAAAATAGAAACCTAATTCGCAAATTACAAATTGAAAAAAATAAATTTAAAAACTCATAATTCAAAAATATGAAATCTAAATATCAAATTCATATTCAATTAATTTTTTTAAAAAAACTACCTCTCTTGAAGAGTGAAGAATAAAAAAACAAAAAAACATGCCTTATTGTTGTGCTGAGTTTGGGAGTAGGGGAAGAAGCAGGGGCGATCCCAGAAGATTTGAACCATGGGGTTGCATTTTAGAAAGTTCATATCAAATTAAATATAAAAAACTTCATAATATCCTATATATATATATATATATATATGTATGTATGTATGTATATGTATGTATGTATGTATGTATATGTATGTATGTATTTATATGTAAAGTTAGGTTCAATTCTTGGAGTGTTGACATGTGGCATGCCACATAATCATCCACATGTGCATTCCTTGATGAGATAGATGAAATTTATTGGTTTATTTAATTATTTAAAAATATCTTTTAACTCATTTTATTGTATTACATTCAATAAATATTATATTTTAGTATTAAATTAAAAAACATTACTTTAATTATACTTTGTATAAAAATGTGATTTTTTAACAATTTTATAAACATATATACCATCATCGTAATATATATATATATATATATATATCTGTGTGTGTGTATGTATGTATGTCTATGTATGTATGTGCGTGTATATATATAGACACACAGACATGCATACACACACACACATATCTATAGATATATACATGCATGTGTACATATATACTGTCACATATACATTCTCTAATGATGTATCATTATTTAATTAGTCCATTTTTTATTATAATGTTTTATTAATTAAAACCATTTTTATTAGTACTTCATTCAATAATGGCCATTAGTTTTGTATAAAATTTTTGTTTTTGAATGGGGGCATTGTTACCATTTGAACTACTCTTCCATGGAATTTCATTATGCGTTTGGCGTATATATAGTAACACTAAGTACATATGCCTATAGGTATAGTTGTATAAAATTACAAAATTTTGGTGGGATCGCGTGACCCCGTACAACTCAACGTGGCTCCACCACTGCTGGGAGGGTTATTCTTGTACGGGTAGTTTAGGTTTTATTATTATTATTTTATGGAAAAATTACCCAAAATAATCCCAACTTTACTCGGTTTTTCAAAAATAATCCCACCTTTCACTGTGATGCATAATAATCCCAACTTTACTGAAATTTGCCAGTTTTGGGTCGGCGTTAAGTTTCTAACGGAGGGATAACGGAAATGCCCGTTTTAGGCAACAAAATGAAAGTTGGGATTATTTTTGATGAATTTTTGTTTTTTAATTTTTATTGAAATTTTTTGAATTACTTTCAACCTCCATTTCTTTTTCTTTTT